TTATAAACGGCGATAAGTATGAAATAAAGTCATACACACAGTTTGGAATTCATTTAATTAAATTATCACAACACAAATCTGTACAAAACTACTTCGATTCGTTTATTGAAGAATTATAGTGCTCATTTAGTTAGGTAAGGAAAAGTTACTGTCGGAATCGAAAACTAGCAAAAACAAGTGTCTTTCACTGATTAAAAATTTTCAATAACCAATTAGTCATGTACTCATTGGCAATTCAATTAATGAAAGAATGAAGTATATTCATTTGCGTCAGAGAATCATATATGAAAATCTTCTTGCTTATGACGTAAACAAAACCTACGACCAGGCTGAAGCAGAAAAAGTAGAAAAGCGCGTAAACTTAATGGACATTTTCGCTATACTAAGAGTGTTTACATAGGTTTGTCAAGAGTCAAGACATGTTCACAACTCTAAGTGCATCGTCGGAAATCCACGACTGATCATGTTTCATCACCGTGTAATGGACAGGGTGATGGAGGGGGCCGTGGGTTTCCGACGATACCAGAGTGGCGGAGTTCAGGTTCATGGACGACATTGCCAAAGTGGAGATAGGTTAAGGATCAGGATGTGTCTGAAGGATTGGCATTTTAAGCAATGTTGAAACGATTTCATCTTCAAAATTGTCCAAAAAAAGTGGATGTGTTCATCGGCCATCTCGTCGCATTCTTATTGCGCTCTCTTTTTCGTGTGTCAAAATTTTCGAGGTTTCAGGGGAAAAAATATTGGTATGGGGGGATTTGATTTGATGGTTGGAAAAATTTTAGTAGTATTTGCATATAAACATTTTACATTTCGTGGTTAACAAAACAATTCTTGGGTCTCCCCATACCTCAAAAACGACGCATTTTAACCCAGAGGAATATTCTGTAAAAGTCTCGTTAACCTTGATGCAGCCGTAGAAAAGGAGTTGCTGATAAGAGATGGGGTACCCTGAGGTGTAACAAACGCACGGAGATCCCGATTACTATATATCTCCGCCCCTTTTCAAGCTGGGGTAAAAAAAAAAAACAATTGGTTAAGACTGAAAAACTTCCCTTAAATTAAAGCTAACTTGGAAAATATCGAAAACAAGCCGAAAACAATCCCTATTTCAAAAGTCAAATACATAATAATACTACATGTATATTTATCATAATAATCTCGACATGTTTACTGGATTGTTAATTTGGATTAATAATTTAAAGACAACAAGCATTCCAAAAAATGTGAATAAAAATATTCCGTTCAGAATACATGTATTTTTAAATCCCTCGTAAAGAAAACTGAATTCGAATATTTATTAGTTTCAAACTTATTTTCAATAAAATCACGTGAAACAAATATGAATTTTTATAAAATCATTTTGACTGACATTGCTTTCTTGTCCAGTGCAATACAGTGGAATTCTTATTAAGATAAGCTATTACAATAGTAATTTTCAGAAGAAATTTACTAATCAGTCAAAGACGAGTGGTAATTTCTTCTGGAGGTTTTCGTATACCCACACTAGTTGTTCGTTAAAGAAGTAGTAATAAATGTACGTAACTTTATTTAAAAGTCCTTCGATATAATTTTTGACTGTAAATTTGATTCATATCAAAGAGAAAAAAATATTTGAAAACTGTGAATTCAAAAGAAATCCCTTTTCTTTCTTTTTTACAGCTTTTTTTTCAGAACACGAAATAAAAATTGAGTTGATTTTGACATTGCATTCTAGCCCAGAGATGTTTTGCTCTTGGAGACCCATAATGTAAAATAGGTGTACAATGGCATTAAGTAATTGCACACATTTGTGGGCACTTTTTCATAAACAGAATATTATTATATTAATTTATTATAAAATGACATCCTAAAGAGAAAAGGGGGACCCGGTAGGGGACATGTATTGCTTATGTTCATTAATTTTCAATCAGAATTTACCGAAAATATGTTTGAAATTTACTTATTTTTTCTATATGATATTATTAAAATTAATGGTGAAGTTTGAAGAATTTCCGTGGATAAAAACACATGAATTTTAGAATTCAGATACATACATATATATATATATATATATATTTTTTAGTATTTTCGGTTATTTAACAATTAAAATATACCATATCAAATACATATATTGCATGTACATTATTTAAAATTCTTCAAGGTTGGCTTCTTACAACTTGCAAGCAACACATATTTCTGATTTAAAACCTGTTGATTAAAATAATTACTAGTATTTTATTTCTCTTTTCAGAGTTTAAAACCAATATAGTTACAAGGGGATGAACAGTCTTTTTGAATGTTATATTTTTGATATCATAAATTATAACTTCTTTAAAGAGAATGGAACTCTGAAATTTTAATATTTTGTGATATAGTAAACTCGTCTGTCGATTTGTCCGTCTGTCACAAAAACTTTAATCTTCTTACAAAAAGCGATAAATGATGGCATCTCCGGTCTATCAATATATTTCTTCGGAGAGCTGCAATTCAACGACAAAAGTATTTTATTCTTTATATGTAATTAACATATTGTTTGTCGCATAATAAGATTTACGATTTTTCAACAAAAAAAAAAATACGGCCTTTTTTCCGAAATTCAACATTCAGATTCCAATAAATATATAATATACATATTTATTTTTTTAAAATCTAAGCATTAACGGCTAATTTTTCCCCATTTCGTGCAAGTAGTGCCACTTTAAAAAGGTTATTGCTAGATGGTACATCGTACAGATAGAAGAACGGAACACGAGTTATCGTTAATAAGTGTGCGGCAATATTGAGAAGATGAATCATATAACACATATTCCCAATTTTCCCCCGCACAGTTATGTACATGGATTATCATGCATATCGAAATCAAGGTTACAGTCTTAGTATTGTAATAAAGTATACTAGGCCTATGTTCCGTCATATTTACTAACTACAGTATTTTGAAATTAAAATCGGTCAATTTTGTCTTTCCCTTAGTTATAAAATGAGAATATTGAAAAGTCAGGAAGACAGAAGCCGAAAATGCTTATATGGTTGACATACATGTACCCTGTTTGCAAAACTGTTTTCCTTTTCCAGAAATCGCAGTATGACTTTTACATGGTCTTGGAGGAGGGAGAAGCCCAGCAATACGTCACACACACGGGTCAAGAAGTCTGACTCCTGTTTTCAACTTAAAGTCAGTGAGGGTATACTGATAGTGTCAGAGGGCAACTTCCCCAGGCAGAGGGGGGAAATTTTCAAAGTTCTCACTGACACCATTCTAGTATTCGTGACGAACTACAATCACCAGCTAAAGCGAGGGACTACATGTACAGTGTATACTATATAATGAGTACCTGTACACTAATCAAATTTTGCATTTCGTCTTTCCTTCGATATTTACTTACTACGTATACTTTGAAATTAAATCCAGAGATTTTTTTCTTTTCTTTTATAATATCGACATTAATTTAGTCGTATATTATTTTTGAGAATTTTTTTTAAAAACCTCATTACAAGTCATTCTCACCATGCGCTCACGATGTCAAGCTTTTCAGTATCAGTTTGTAACTTCACATTTTGGAGTTCAAAAATCACAAAAATATTGTAAGGATGATAACAAGTTTAATCAAGGTACGTATTATAAGAAACGGCTGTAGACAAAATTAAACTTAATCCAGGTTCACTATAAAAGTATGTAAATAATGCATAAATATTAAGGCGGAGATTTTTTACCGGGTGGTAAATTCCAGGTGAGGGAGGGGCTTATTTTGTACAGGTGTGAATGTCTTGGGGGCTAGCAGTCTACCTGTGGTCATCTATCTCCTAATTCCTATACACAGGAAGTGATTTAATACACATGCAGTGAAATACCTAGATGTCAAACTTTACCGATGTTGGGGATTTTGAGATATTTTTAAAATAAGTAGTGAAAAGGTTTATAGACTTTATATATTGATTTATTTTTGACTGTTTGAAAACACCCCCATACATTAAAAAAATAATTAGGATATCACACTATAAATTCTTATATTAAAACAAAGATTGTTTTAGATGTTATTGTATGTGTTAATTTAAAGAAAACAACTTTTGTAACAACCAAATTGGACTTAATTTATTCATCCCAGGATCCCATCTATTAATCAAATGAAAAGAGAGCTGTGTGAACTACATTTCACAAAATATATATATATATATCTGCACTGTATAGGTCTATCCTAACCTTGATAAGATTTTGTCACCATGAAACATGCTAAAAAAGACTGAATATAAATTCTCATATGAATAAAAAAGGAAAAAATTAATGTAAGTGACCCATGATTAGAAACATTATTTTTTAAGTTAATCACTTCACACAGTACTGCTCTGAACTTATCAATAACAATTCCACTTTAGGTTTACCATTTAGCATATTAAAAATAATATCGAAATTTCATTTGAAAAACAGTTTTTTGTACCAAAGGTTTTTTTTTTTTTTTAAATGCATATAATATTTTTATCCTTTCAAATACTAAAGGTATATTTAATTCATATATTATCAATCTAAATTTTTTTTATTGTAATACAGTTTCTATATGCCATGTTCAGTAAACATCAAAAGATCAAAAGTTCATTAGAAAGTCACCACGAGTCCCAATCAAGGTGTACAGGCTATACACAGGGACCAGTAAAATTTTAAATAAAACAAACTTGTGTGAAAGCTGTGAATGATTTTCACAATTTTTTTTTGACCTTTCACATGGCGAGGGAAAAAAATGGAGAGAGAGAGAGAGAGAGAAACGATCATGCAGAAAAAAGAAAATTTTAACATCATAGAAACGAAAGGAAATTATTGAGGGAAAATAACTTTTAATTATATCTTGTTCAAATCAAAATAACAGAGGACGAACAAAAAATAATTCTGTAGACTGTTTCACGATAACTCTCGGGGGAAAAATCAACGAAAACGAATTTTTTTAATTGAATGTTGTATATATTGTGTGCATATTTTGGCGAAAAGTTAACGGTTATTAGAGTTGTCTCTCTTGTGTTGTGGGAAAAGCAGTCGTGCAAAATGGAAGTTCAGCATGACACGCTTCGTAGAGGTCTGAAAAATGTGAGGGATAACTTTCTGAAATTTGGTTTCTTAAATATTGATTGGTGCAATGCAACTCAAAGCAAAGATTTTTCGGATGCTGATGTGAATTACAGGGTTATGAGAGAATACGTCGATAAATGGCCAAGGGTACTCTGTTTTCACTTTACAGATTTGTTCAATGATGGAATTAAGATGTTATGTGATTTACAAAATGACTATGGAAAGTTTGAAAAACTGCAATTACACGAAAAGAAGGCAGTCCAGCGCCTGTATGATTTCTTTACAGATTTAGGTGAGTATATAGAGAAGTAGCAATCAAAGTACTAAGAGTACTGATGGGCGTATTTAATCTTTTCACCTTTTCATTTTCTAAACAACATTTAGACTTCATATTACATGCGCGGATCTAGAGGGGGGGGGGTCGGGGGGTCAGGACCCCCCTGGAATTTACACGGTTAAAAAATGTATATACTAAAGCAAGAAAAAAGTCACCTTGAACCCCCCTTTCTGGGATTGGAATTTTTTTTTGACTGGGTGGACCCCCCCCCCCCTGGAAAAAATTTCTGGATCCGCGCCTGTATTATATTTGGTCAGAGAGTAATAAATGAATGAAAGAAGTGTCATCACCTTTACTAAGTCAAATTGGTTAGGGTTGTTCATAGTGGGTCTTGCAGTCTATGCAAAAGTTTTTTTTTGGAACACACAGGACATTTAGTCCTATTTGGTCCTGTGTACTAGTCGAGAGTAATGAATAAGCACACAGGACAGAAACAAATTTGTCAGACCAGAAAACTTAATGTAAGAAAGTGAGACAAATGAAAATGCAGAACCAAGGAGATTTCATAATAACGTAGATGGTTCAGATTGGTAATTCAAATGTGTTTATGATACTGTAAACATACCCTTTTCTACAGCTCTAACACTGATAAAAAGTGCCTTCTAGATTTTAAGAAAGATATATCATATGAAGGCTCTCGATTCTCTTTAATTAGGGCCGATATTCGGCCCCGTTCCAAATGTGAAAAAGGCACCTTTTTTCCAAAATTTGAGTGTAAAAATTCCCAATGTATGATTGCTTGACATTTATTTGTGTAAAAAAAAAAAATAATAAAAAGCATATGATATAAACTAAGGCAAGCATATTGAAACTTTTAACTTCATACTTATGTATAGGGTACCTGCCTGTATTGTGCAGGAAAATGTTCAAAAGACAATGGACTAGGCATGAACAGAAACGCTATTGTTTACTTACATTGGGAAAATTAATGGGAATAAATTATTAATTCAAAGATGGCTTATTGAATATTCTTGGTCTAATATAATGTTAGTAAGCATATTTTTGTCTATTACTAATTGTGTAATTAACTGTAAATAATCATTTTACCTACCTTAATTCTAAGGGCAGATCACTTTAACAACATAAAACTACCCTACAATTAAAACTCTTTAGAGTGCAGTGTTAGGAGCTTCCTTAAGAAAAAGAAAGCAAATTTAGCCTTTAAGTGATCTTATATATATATGCTGATGATAAAAAAATATTTTTTTAAATGTTGTACAACCTTTTCAACATTTAAATTTTTAGGTTCTCATGAGGAGAATCTTAAAAAAGTGCTTGGAAAAAGCCCAGTTACAGAGACAGACATATCAGTAGCATTGGCTGAACATCTCTTAGGAAAGCTTTCATCAGACTGTACATATGTCATTGATCACAAATTAGCAAAAGGAAAAGGAACATGCAAATGTGGATGTGAAAAACTGCCACATTTCGGAAATACAGGCATTGGTATGTTTTTGTTCATATGTCTAGTCTCATCACTACCATTTTGATGTGCTTGTTAATTTCAGCTCCTTATAGGCATTCTTAATTATTTGAAAATAATCAAGAGGTATTGCAGAATTATATCCTTCTCCTGTAGGTCATGAAGCTGTATGGCATGGACATATTGATGTTGTCTTCTCATCTCATCTTGACCAACCTCCCTCAGACATAGCTATAAAAACTATTGGTAAATGTGAACCAGAGGTGCCTGCAAAGGAAGAAGATGAAGAAGAAACCTGTTGCTCACCTCCTGAAAAAAAGAGAAAAAGAGAAGGTAGCAAAAAGACCATTATGTATGGCCCTGGTTATAAGCTTTTAACTTTAGATGACCTTTGGTGCTATCTATGGTGCAGTCTAGCTGTCATGCATTGTCCACTGTAATGTATCCTGTAATATGTGTCTTTATGTCCATCCATCTGTAAACCATTTGTTGTGGCACCATATCTTCCTTGCCCTTCCACTTTATATACAGAGGTGGTTGACAATAGACTAGAGGACACCTATAGACTGGGTAAAATTGCTTTTTCTGCCCATATGTCCATATGTATTACTTCTAAAACAACACTTTCATACATACGATTTAGGGTTATATCACTTTGTCTGTCTGTATGTTTCATGCAGTCATGTATGGTCCATATGTATGTAATAGAGAAGTATTGGAAGCAAAGATTTTCTATGACCGAGTGTGTGTCATAACTTAAAACCAAGGTTACTCCAGGCAGTTCAACATCATTAGCTGAAAAGGTTTATAATTCATGTACAGTCTACAACTTTTTCTAATGCAAATTTCCATCCTGACCAAATTTTGTCAATTTTGTAAACATTGGAAGTTCAAAGCAAGTATCCTCACATAATGGATACATGTGTATTTGATTTTGATCAACTCATGGCTCCTAGAATAGAATTGGGCCACAAATATAAGGTTAAAAGTTTTACACTGGAACATAGGAAAACATCCTTGAAAATCTTCTTAAAACAGTTAGGCAATGATAATTAGAGGTATTTTAAATATGCACGCATCCTTACGTAATGTTGATTCAATCAAATTTGTTTTTGTGACGGTTTATGTAGGGATAGGGTGGGGGCTGTGGGGCCATAATATAGGATAAAAGCCTTATTTGAAATCTACAGAAACCTCTCTTTCAAGAAAAGCATGACCAACTTTTGCTTTATCCCCAAGTAGTGTCCATTCAAGTTTGTTTAAATCCAAGCTTCAGTGCATCGGGGATGAATATTTTTCCTGGGAATAAGATGTTTTTTCTTTTTTAAAAGACAGCATGGCCTTATGATTAATGGTAATGATATGCAAATATTGTTGAGTTGTACATACAAATTCAAATTTGTTCAAATCAAAGAAGAGTAGGTTTGTTAGTTTCCTACTTTTTCTTAAAAAACGATTTGGGGGGGGGGGGGATCAATGATGTTCATAAGTAAACAATGTCTAAAGTTGTGTGAATTCAATATTTTTATTCAAGTTATAGTTAATATTTGGTTAGAACAGGTCTTAAATTTCCCTTTTGAAAATGTACTTGGAAAAATATTCTAGCCTTCTACAATGTTTGGCTCTGAGTGTAACTTCATTTATTACCAATAGTATATTTGATACTTGGTTATTAACATATTATATTAATAATGTAATACATCAGTTTTTAAAAAATTATTTTAGGTAATTTGGAAGAAACCAAAGAATCTACTGGTGGGAAATCTATTGCTGATGTGAAACATTCACCATTAGATGGTGCAAGAAAACAGACAATTGCACAAACAATTGTCTTTTCCCTACTTCAAAAGCAGAACCATCCTGATTTGAAAAATCTCCTTGTTCCAAATATTTTGATTTCTCCAGAAGAGATGCAGATAATAATGTATGATGCAAAAAATGATGTGCTACTCTGTAGTAACGTGATTAAACTATTTATCTGTAATGAATTTTGCCTGGGGGCGGTCATCATATTGTGGATGGTACTTCATTATGGGATGTTCCTCAATGGGCTTCTTATTGACAAGCTTCCAATGCTTGATGAGTACAAATCTCATTTTAAAGAACTCACACAGGCAAAATGGAACATATATTCAAACTTATTGAAAGGTTGTGTTTCTAACTTTCCAGTGATTGAATATGAAGGACTTGACTTTAATGTGGATTTTTTTTTCTGTGCTAAAAATGTACTTGATAATGAAGAACAAGTTTAAACCAAAGGTTCAACAAGCTTTTATGATTAAAAATTTTCCTGACTTCTTTTGTTGGTAGAATTAGCTTAAATACACCTAGCTGTGTTTGAAAGCTAATTTCTGAAATGCTTTTAAAATGACCTTTTAAAAAATTACAATACACTTAACATAAATCAGTTCCCCCTTTTAAGTGCTCTCTTGATCTTTGTTTAGCTCGTTGAAGCCAAAGACGCAAGTGAGTTTTTCTGATCAAAATGTATCCATTGTCTGTTGTTGTTGTTATCAGGTTTTTACATTTCCATTTTCTTTAGAGCCCAAGGCTAATTTTAACCAAAATTGCCAAAGACAGACATGTATCCAGGATTTTTAACCTTGGATGACCTTTGATGCTATCTATTGTGCAGTCTTGTTGTCCTGCATTGTCCAATGTTAGTCAGTACAACACTCCTTTTTATGTGGAAACTAATAAAAAAAATTTATGCCCCCATTATAGAAGATTCAGAGGAATATAGTTTTTGTCATGTCTGTCCGTCAGACTGTCTTCTGTTAGTCAAAAGTAATTGGCAAGGTTAAAGTTTTTGCGGACAAACAGACAGACACAACAAAAACTAGATTCATCTTTCACAGGTGTATTTCTTGTGATAAGATCTTTCTTTGGGTACCACCAAATTTGACCTTGACCTTGGAGTTTGATCGACTTTTACACAACAATTTTAACTTTTACTTGGGCCATAACTTTTGAACGGTAGACACTAGGACTTTCATACTTCAAATTTATATTTTTTATGGCAAAACCTTTTATTTGATACCAGTTTTAAGTCTCAACTTCTACTTTTCTCTTCCTTTATTATAAGTACTAACCAGTAGAGCTACAGTCTCGACAGAGACTTCTTGATTTATTTTCACATTGACTTTGAGACCTTTTGATTTACTTTAATAAAACTTACACTTTGGCCTTTGTTTTTGAAGTATTATTACTAAGTCTTTTCGATTATGTATTCCTTGTGACAGAACCTTTATTTGGAATCATTCTATTCATTTTAATCCATGACCATCTTAAATAAGATATATTTGTGAAACACTGATGCCACCGTATGGCAACATAGCGAAGGGCAAATTTTCTCAAATGCAAATCAAATATGTTGGTACCCGAAGTAAGGCCTTCTTACAAGAAATATAATTGTGATATAGCCCTAGCACCACCTGTTCAAAAGTTATGACCAAGGTTAACGTTTTTTAAAGGTAGGTCAAACTATATGGTAATGATCAAATTGTAAAAGTTGTTGGTACCCAATAAAAGGTCTTGTCACAAATATATATGTGAAAAATGAAAGTCCTAACCCAATACCTTCAAAATTTATGGCCAGGATTAAAGTTTGTAAAAAGTAGGTCAAACTCCAAGGTCAAATGATCAAAGTTGTTGTTTTTAAAATTGAGAAAATGATCCTTTTGCCCCTCGTTTGTAGGTATGCTATTTCAAAGGCAAATATTTTCAAACTTTGTGAGATTTTTGTAAATTGTAGATATTTTACATAAAGTATATATATGTTAGATGAAATATCAAAGAAAAAATGTTGACATAACTGAGAATTCACTTTTATGTGGCCGGATCGATAGATCTGGGATGTATATTGTTTTTATCCTGTCTGTCTGTTCGTTTGTTTGCAAACGTTAACCTTCGCCATAACTTTTGAACCATGAAAGATAGAGACTTTATACTTGATATGCATATTCCATTAATTAAACTCTTTCAAATGACACCAAGGTCAATGACCTTGTGACCTTGACCTATATGCTAAAATAGCTTTTTCTGCATATTTTATCCTTCACCATAACTTTTGAACCATGAAAGATATAAACTTCATAATTGGCAAGCATACTCCACTAATCAAGTTCTTTCAAATGACACCAAGGTCAATGACCTGGTTACCTTGACTGACCTATAGGCTAAAAATTGCTTTTTCGTACCTTTGCTATAACTTTTGAACCATTAGGAGATAGAGAATTCATATTTTGTTGGCATACTCCACTAATCAAGTTCTTTCAAATGACACTAAGGTCAATGACCTTGTGACCTTGACTGTCACCTTTACGCTAGAATTAGCTTTTTCGAATTTTGTTGCCGCCGGGCGTATAGTGTTTCACAAACACATCTTGTTCACTTTATGTTTGTCGCACTATAGGCTTTTGGCTCACTGTAAGAAGCGTTTTTATTTTCTTGAAGTTTAAACTACCCTTTTTAAATAACTTTAAATTTTTAGTGAGCATAACAGACATAAAATGGATGAATTCACCTAAAGTTTGATGCATCGAATTCCTTTAGCTAAACTGCTTAAAGCAATTTTGAGAATTTTATTTTGCAATTAAAATGTGTTTTTATAATAAAGTAATTGATTTAAACCATTATGTCTGAACCAATTAGACTGAAATAAAGTATCTAATTGTTTCAAAACAGATACTTCTGTACAATAAAATATTTAGTATTATTTTAAAAAACAATATTGTACAGGACGACAACAAAAAAATTGAATAATGTAATTTTGCATCATTAAGAGCTTGTAAATAGTTTCTCTAAGTTACCAATTACAAAAGTCAGAAAAAAAAAACCAGAATATCAAACATCAAACTTTTTCACTTCGTATTTTTCTCCATAAAACTTTGGTCCCAGAACTGCTCTTATATTTTATGAATAATTGAATATGCATTGCATCACTCGTAGTTTGAAAAATCAAATACAAACACGGCGTGAATATTGATTGCATTTTATTTCAATTTTCAAGACCAAACATTTATTATGTTGCAATTCACCTAAATAATATCGCAAAATACGGTAAATCAGGTAAGCTTTATAAACCCTGAGTTTGGACTGATTTGATTTTGGTTTAGTCCGTGATGAGGAGGTATTCGACCACTGGCTGAAAAAGTTAGTTTCAAAATACACACATACATGAACGAAAATACAAGATAAGAAAATGACTAGATTACAAAAAAGTCAAGTGTAAACAAACATACAAAAAGAAATACACTACGCTCAAAGAAGGGCTACAAAAATATATTTATAAAAATTCATCAAGCCATGTTCGATATGTTTTTTTCTGGACAATGAATCACAGATCTATGCATTTGCACCCAGTGCTTCCGCAATAAGTTTTCTTTTCTGGTAACATCTGTTTTATGGCCGCTTTGGTGTCGTCTTCGTTTGCTCCAATCATAACAGCTATGTTGGCAATACAAGGACAAAAGTTCCACTTAGTGCACGTGTCCATTATGGATTTTATATTTTCTTGTAGCATTTTGTTTTTGGATGCCTTTTCTTTGATTTTCCTCATGTCTTCATCTGAAATGTTAGGGCAGTTAATTCGGAAAAATGAAAGTGGAATGAAATCATATTCAGGGATAGTGGTATATTTGCTTGCAATTCGACACAATACATCTTTTTCGGTTATAGAACTGGCAAAAGTACGAAGAGACTGTTCGCTTTGAAACTGATATGCGTTCCGAATAGCTGACATCATTTCGCTCAAGCCAATTACAGATTCTTCTTTGAATTCATTTTCTATGACTTCATCCATGATCCTCATATTTCTTTGTTTTGTAGCTTCTTTATCCATCGTCGTATAAAACGTATCATTAACTTCACAGCGGGGCACAAATGGCTCTAAAGGATAGTAATCATAGAAGTTTTTATCAGCCCTAAGTATTGCAACCGTGCAGACGACATCCTTCTTTCTTAACTGGGAACCATAACTGCGTACTTCTGAAGAGGCATCAAGTCGATATAAGGAGTGTAGAAAGTCAGTCATTTGCAAAACTCCCTTATTTTTGTTCGTATTCTCGGTAACATAATCGTACAAAATGGATCGTGCTCGTAAAGCTTCGCTGATAGCTGTTAAATTATCATTATTGGCATTTAAGAACGCAAGAACGGAACTTTGAAATCTAAGTATATTGTACCTGTTTATGCCGTGATAATTTACAGAAAGTAAGTTTCTTGCTTCGTTAATTGCAAGGCGAGGTACACCTACCACATCTACGAAGTCATTGTATTTGGACAAATTTTTCATGACAGATTCAAATGTTTCTGACGATTCTTTAAAAGTTCCAATAACTTTTTTCCACTCTTCTCCAAGTTGAACTATCACGTTCGTTAAATTATTTTTGTTTTCTTTTAAATCTGCAAGGTAGTTTTCCATCTTCGTCTTGGCATCTGCAATTTCTTCGTCTTTCTTTTTCCAGGCATCAAGGTTCAGTCCAATGGCGACAACATCACCAATAACGCCAACCACTGATAAGCCGATGTTAAGCTTTGAAATTTTAAATTGTTTTACCTGATCGAGTTTTTCTTTAAATATACCCTGAGCAATTTTGGCTTTTAATTTTATGTTTTTCATTGAATTCTTGAAGTTTTCTTTCATATTACCTCCAATATCCTTCCATGCTTCTTTGGTAAAAGCCTTTTTAAGAGATTTCAATTTCTGTGTAGTCATTGTTTTTGCTTGCTTTAATTTTTCTACAAATGCATTTTTTCTTTTAAGGAACGAATCACGAGCATTCTTGGCCATCTGTTTTAATACTTTTGGAACAGCTTTTAATTTTTGTTTTACGGCAGATTTTGAAGTTTGTTCAAATTCCCCCAGGGTCGCTTGAATTTGACTTCCGTAAAACAGATCTTCTGTAACTTGCTCATATGCATTTTGAAATGACCTTGAAAATGAATTTATAGCAGACTCGATGAGTAATTGAGCGACTATCCCAATAATTTGCATTTGTTGTTGTTTTTGTAGCATAGTCTGGATGTCTTTTAAGGAATATTCCAGACGTTGCATACTTAATGTTGATAGATATGTGTTGAAGTCGCTTTTATTGGCAATATCTGTTAATTCTACAGAGGTGGGGAAATAAGCTTCAAGTTTGGCATTGATGTCTTCCTGCATTTCGCGGATGGTTGAAATCTTTTTTACTGTTTCATTGATATAATAGTTAATAAAACCGTTATTGGTGTATGCGGCACGAAAGTCAACAAAGTTTTTGTTATGTTTTATGAACATAGCTTTAAACTCCTTTTTTTCTCTTTTGATTTCTTCCTCCAGATTTTCCATGGACTTTATGTTGACACACATTCTAGGAAAGAAGGCACATCCCTCTGAAATGATATGTTTTAAGATGCTAGAAATCTTTTCAATTAGAGAACAACGAAAAGCTTAAATGCATACTAGTACATGTAGTATAATAGTTTTATGCCCCTTTATCGAAGTATAGTTTTGTCCTGTCCGTTCGTCCGTCTGTTAATCTATTTGTCTGTTTATCTGTCTCTTCGCAAAAAGTTTAACATTGCCGATAACTTTTAAGTGGGTGGGGCTATGACTTTATTGTGAAAAACTCTTTCTTTGGGTACCACCAAATTTGACCTCTAGGCCTTAACGTTTGAGATTGAACCCACTTTTACAAAAAAAATTCCAAACTTTAACCTTTTTAATAACTTTTGAATAGTTAGTACTAGAGCTTTTACACTTCACATGTGTATTCCTCAAGACAATACCTTTGTTTGGGTACCACAAAATTCGACATTTTGACCTTGACCTTGGAGTTTTCCCCTTTTAAAAAACAAAGTTTTACTTAGGAATTTTTGGTTTTGTTTTGAGATTTTTTTTATTTTATTATTTTATTTATTTTTTTATTATCATTTATTTTTTTTATGCAAATTCAAACATGTATACGGCACTCAAGGGCTTTGAGCATCAAAGGGTCTATTTATGCCAGCATCCGACACGGGATCTCGGTTTACTAGTACATGCATATAATGGGATTAGAACTTGCGACGATCAGCTCCTTATTCTGCGACTAAAATCCAAACGGTCTAACCACAGGCAAATCGGAAAAATCTTTTAAAAGTTCTATTTCAAAAAAAAATTACAAAATAAGAAAATTTTATACAGAATGTACTTTGAAAAGTATAATGACGAAATGGTGGAAACGATGCACTACGAATAAATAAACAAACAAGGCAACAGTCTCATTCCTAACCAATTAATAGCCATTCTCTGTAAGCATTTAAACCCTTATATAGGGAGTGTGGCACGCATGGTCTTGGATTTTTATGAAACTTGGCATACATTCCTATATTAAAATTCATACTAAAATGGTTGCTATGGTCCATGGTTACCACGGAAACCAACATACATTTTTCATGGCCTAAAAATTGCTAAATTTTGATGAAGAATGACCCTTTTTGACTTATTAAAAGTACTAGTATTTAAGGGAACAAGCTATTAACATGATTTTACCTTTTTGCCAAAATACATCATTGTACACTGCTTTAGAAAAATTTAGTATTTCAGTAACTTTACCTCATAGAAAAAATATCCCTCATTTATAGATAGGATTTTTCTTGGGGAAAATTGTAGATTTTAGGCTCTTTTGAAAAGCCTGATATAAATTTTTGCGGATAGTTGGGAAAAAATGAATACATTGGTTTGAAAGTCCATATATAGTTCTAAAATAAACTACAAAGAACTACTTGGTATTTATATTTAGTTTTCTTGTTACCATGGTTACAAACTTATGCTTTTTTTTAAAAATCCTAGAAAAGTACAATACGTAGATACAATCATGATCCATATAATTGCCTAAGTATTTTAAAATGGATTAAAACAAATTTAGATATATAGTAAATAATAGCAGAAACAAAGAGAGAAAAATCAATTTTCATGACTAAGGGTCAATGGTCAAGGTCAAAATGGCAGATTTAGATAGATATTTAAGGAATCTAAACAACATTTTTTCTGCGTCATTACTAATACTTTTGTTTTAAACAACAAATGAAGAAACAAAATTACAGTTCTGGCCAACAATAACTAGCATCATATGAATGTGTGCCCATATGGACAGAAGGTCAAAGCTGAAGGTCACAATGGTATGTAAAGAACAACGCAAGCTAAATCTCAATTCCCGCCTACATTTTGCGACCATTTTATTCAATAATAATGGCCAAAAAATCTTTGTTTATACAAAAAACAGTGCAAATTTAGCCATAAAATCTTTTGTTTTATACAAAAAACGGTGCAATGGTATTTGATTCATTATTTTAATACCAGTGCTAAATAGTACATTATCCCTTATTCCAACTCTGGAGAATAAGGGGAGGGGGGGGGGGAGAGAAGTCAATGATATTTTCCATTGAAATCGGACGTTCAAGTATCACCATATTTTGGAAAAATCTTGGATATAATTAAATGTTCCGTTTATTTTTTCTCATGTTTTGCAAATAAGGAAAATATGTATATATTAGTAAAATACACTGTTTTAGCTGTAAATCACTTTGAAATTGGGGGAAAATAGGCATTTATTTTCGTCTTTTGTCTATAAAAATATGCCCCCTCTACTCTGTCTGTTTTTGTATTTTATTATCGTGGGATATCTTAAGAAGCCTACGATCTTATTCAATTTGAGTTTATACCACAACTCGCTTTAGCGTAAAAAGACACCTATTTATTTCTAGGTCAAGAGGTCAAAGTAAAAAAATAATGTTCGTATGTAAACCTCTCATTTCCGAGCGATATCTCAAAAAGCGTTTAGGTAACGCTTTTTTATATCATAACTCACTATGGTCCCGCCTGCCCTTCTTTAAGTGTCCCATCCCCTACCCCCACCACCCTCTGACCCCCCCCCAACTCCTCTTAATCTATAAAAGTTCTTATCTCCTTAAGCAGGGATACATATTCTTTGAATTAGCTTGTTAATAATGCATTTATACTCGGGTATTCGGAATACTGGTATTGTATATGTTGTATCCTGACCTCTATCCCGTATATTAAATGTATTTTATTGAAACTGGTATTACATTCTCCCTTTGACTTGATGCATAATGTGATTGAAAATGCTTATAAGTACGGTTTTCATGTTTTTTTTATATAAAGGTAGGCAATTAAGAATATTAAACGACTATACACTTTCCATATTCTTGTACGTAGAGAATTGTGCTTCAAGCATGTAAAGACACTCTTTTGTTGTTTTAGTAAACTAATTCCTTGCTCCTAAATGTACATTTTTAAAACCATATTTAACAATCCGAACTTTTCAAGTGACAGTCAACATGTGTTTTCTGGTTTAATCAATAACAATCTGTTGTAAAAATCTGCTGGACTTGTTCGAATAATCTGCTTTTGTGCTTTAATTAATTGTTTTTTTTTTTTTTTTTTTGGGGGGGGAGGTCAGAAAATTATTTTTATTGTGAATAAAATACTGCTAAACAGATTTTATATTAATTGTACTGCTTTTAGGTTAAATCATAATGTATCTTAGTCCAGAGAAATGATAAACCGTTAACTTTAAATTTGATTCACAGACAATTTGTATTTCTATGCAACTCCCCCAATCATCAAAAGTATATTTTTGACTGGTTTACAAAATATTTTTATACTTGTTTATCCTGTTTAAAAACTACATAACATGACTGTGTTTACTATGGGTTAGGGGACGACCTTTGATCCAGAAGGGGGGGGGGTTTCAAGTTAGGTTTATTTTCATGGCAGGACATATTATTTATTTACAAGATGATCTTTAGGGAAAATTATTAAATTTCTTCTTCACTGAAAAAAATCTGAAGAGCAAAGAAAAAAACAATAATAATAAATAAAATACCCGAACTCTTTTTCATTTTGGAAAAGGGGGCGCTTGTATCGGTAACGATTTTATAACACATAAAATGTATTACATGTATACTTATATGAGTTTCAAAAAATTATTACTGAATAATGACCTTTGGATGGGAATTGTAGCTACTATTCAGTACAGATTTCTCTGTGCAACATTCCCAGAATTCCTGCACTACCCAATGTCCTTTGCGCAAATAAATCAAAAATAGTAAAAAAAAATAAAGGAACATTGTTTCTTACCGAAATCTTAACGAAATGATTTTGCCTTGCCTTATTCAAAAAAATACCCCCCATGCCACAACACCGGCTTTCACCTTGCCCTTCGGAAATGATACAAATGACGTCACCGGAAACTTACGAATTTTGACGATATGCTAATTAAGTCATGCCGGTTGCTTCCGTGAAATAGATAAACAAATAAACAATAACTTAAAGCATAAAAAGCTTTCAGTTTGTAGAAATCTTTCAAAGAAACAAAAAATAACTCTGCAATGTTTTAATTAAAACAGACGCTCGGCCGTTTCCGTAAACTCCGACGAGCTCCGTGACGTCGTGTGACGTTACAGCTAGTCGAAATTTCTCCTGCGGTTTGATGTTTGAAGTTGCTAATCAATATTTTTCAAGTGTTTTGATGGTACAACTGCGCTCGCCCCAACGGTCACACGGTAAAACATATTAAGAAAAATAGCATTATCTTTACCTCAGTAACCAGTATAACAAATTAAACTTGGTTGAATAATGAAGGGATCTGGGAATGTTGCCCTACAATATGGCGGCTAAGGGAAATAACTCCTAGACAAAATATGTCAAAGGAAAAGTGTCTATAGGTAAACAACTTCCAGTCATTTTTGTACAATGATTTTTTTTTATCTTTCTCACTGAAGAGCTCACAATTATCAAAGGGAGATAATTCAATTTCAAAGTTAATGCCTGCTATTTTAATCAAAGATTTCTCATATTTATAGAGAGAATACCAACAAGGTTTTAACATGCCTTTTAAAATTAGATGATATATTTCTTATTTTGTGAGTAACATGAATTGAAGAAGCCGCATTTCATTAAAAAACTTTCCCAAATATTACATTTTTTCAGAAAAAATCAACTTTAGACACTGTTTCCATGGTAACTACTCAACATTCATATAATCTAACTATATTTTTTGAAGTAGTTTATGAGGTGGTATTTTCCAGCCAAATTTGAAAAAAAAAATTGTGACTATGCGTGCCACAAAAGTTTAAGTGGTTACAGAGAATTGGTATTAAATGTCAAAAGAAAAAAATATGCTTCAAAATTTTGAAACATAATCATGTTACTTAAAAACGACGATAGCCATATCAACTAAAATCAGCAAACTTGGTACTTACTTGTAACTGCACCAGCAACATTTACTGCGAGACCACCTAAGCGTAAAGTTGTTGTAACTCCTAAAACTGTAAAAGAAAATTTAATTCATTGAAATAGTAATTTTACATTTGCTTTAATGCCCATTCAGAAAACATTTATGGTGACCTCATAAAACATTAATAATATTTATAATTTGGGAAAAAAACTCACAGAATACGGATCCCCATCCTCTCTTTGATATGGCATGGGTGTTGAGCTTAATTTTTGCCGCGTCCAAATCTAAAAACAATTAGATAAACAAAATATTTTGATGTGTTTGAATGTATTTCTAAAGAACTGCATGGAAATACATTTCAAATTATATATACCCCGTGGGGATCCGGGTTAGAATAGGTCCTCAGTACCCCCTTGCTTGTCGTAAAAGGCGACTAAATGGGGCGGTCCTTCGGATGAGACCGTATAAACCGAGGCCGCGTGTCACAGCAGGTGTGTCTTCCCACTTAGCCAAAATTCTGAAAAAAGTACAGGTAACTGGTTTTGGCTAAGTGGGAATGGTGTATAGGGTTTATTCAAGCTATTCCCACTTTTTGAAAATCGGGTAGAAAAAGGTAAAATTTCACGTGGGAGTAGGTGGAATGTTTGTGTAAACAAATAATTAGCTGAATAAACATGTAATTACTGTGAAAACAGTAATTATTAAACCACTGTGGGAGTAGAGGAAAAGTAAATTTGCTATTCTAAATTGAAAAATCTGGCTTTTTACTTCTATTTCAATGAGTATTCTTTTCTGTTAAACTTTTTATTTATTTTTAACTCCAGTTATTTGCAAGTGGGAATATTTTTTTTGATAAACATATTTATTTTCTGTCTTAAAATGTACAAAATACTGGTAAAATACAGGTAAATCTAAGATTGGATGTGATTAGTCTAATTACTGTAAAAACCAATTAACTAATCAAAACATCTATTGTTATTTGCAAGTGGGAATAGATGGAAATGAGATTTTTAAAAAGTGGGAATAGCTAGAAGACACCGTGTACAGGTAAGGGGAGGGAGAGAACAAAGAAATCAATTACAGGTGACCTATAGTCTGTTTTAGATCAACACTAGAAAAAGTCTGACAATTTAATGAATTGTATTGAAATCAATATTTATTAATAAATTCATATTTTAATTAATTCAAATTAATAGTTACTAAGTATTATAATTATTTGTTTTTTAAATTTTATTTGCATTGATTTAATTTGTATTTTTTTTAAAATTTTATATCTACCCATTTTTAATTCATGAGATTTGATATATTAACTTATTTGAAATGTTTAAGTGCCAGTTCTATTACACTCTGTATCACTAGTACTGGTGATAAAAATTAATACAGTCATGCAAAAATAAGGTACTGGTAATGCTTTTGAAATCTGGAATCTGTACCGTAAATCATGTGTTTAAATGAAAATGAGTAAAATTCTGATTCATGTAATTAAAAAAAATCAAATTAAAAAACAATTGAATTTAATAGGATGATTGTATTATAAAATTAATGTTACTGCAAATATTTTAAATGTGCAATACCCATCTGATACTAAGGGGTTTTTTTTTCTTTCATGTATAAAATGCTGGATTTTTAATCCTTGTAAACAAGCAATTGTAAAGGAATATGGACATTTTTGTAAAGATTCTACTTCTAAACGATTTTTTGTACATTATGAATTAAATATCAGTTCGGACACGTTTAATAAATTTCTAGTGTACTGAATTAATCAAATATATCATGATCATTTAAACAAATTCAATATTACAACAATAGAGGATTATCTGAGTTGTGTTTTATAATGTTTTGATTTTTTTGGTCAATACTTATTTTTATCGATAACAAATTTATCAGAAAAAGACTTCTATGGCAATGTACTACAAGCACTAAAAAAATTAGCCATACTATAGTAATAACATACTATGTGATAAAATTTTATTCCGAAACAAGTGCATAATGTGCATTGTAATTATGCGTATAATAAATTAATTTTAAACACCTATGCATAAAAGCACTTATCTCAATTTCAATCATGTATGTACATAAGTTCTAATAATTGGTATTAATATTTCTGCACAATAAATTTAACTCAATTCCTATTCTTTTCAATTTTTCTATCGATCTCTTTATTTTTAGAATACAAATATTATTTTATTTTTAAATATTTAATTGATACAAAGTAGAACTTTATTAATTAGTCTTATATCTAAAACAAATATTCATGATATTTCTTTGATTAATGAACCATTACACCACAGGTAAATATTACAGGTAATAATTAAGCCTAAAACAGACTATACACAGGTGACCACTCAGGTGTGAAAATCCCAATTTTGGCTAGATGGGAATAAAAGAAATTCAGAATTGTGGCTAAGTGGGAATAAACCGGCACGATAAAGATCCCTCCCTGCTCAAAGGCCGTAAGTGCCGAGCATAGGCCTAAATTTGCAGCCCTTCACCGGTAATGGTGACGTTTCCATATCAGTGAAATATTCTGGAAATGGACGTTATACAATCAATCAATCAAATTATATATATAATCACAATCATACCTTTCAACAGCGGTTTTGGTATTTCGGACTTCTCCAATTCAAAATTAGTTTGTCTTTCACCTGCATGTAAAGAAAGAGTTTTGATTGAGTGATGTGAGTTTCTACTTTTTGATATTTTTCTTTCTTCTCCCCCACTTTTTTTAAAGATATCTTTGTAGAGAAAAATATAAACAAAGTAAAAATAATTATATGAATTCGTTTCGTTTCTACTTCATTTTTTTGGGTGCGTATCATTACCGCTACATTTTCGAAAATTTCATTACCGCTACATAGTCATTACCGCTACAAAAAACCTTACATTACCGCTACATAAAAAGGTATACATTTCAGCTACATTGCCTCTTTTGTTAGCCAGCCACTTATGCGTGTATACAGTACAACCTATACATGCATAAGACCTGTTTCCCTGCTCACCACGGGAAGGTGAAAGTAGGACTTTGAGCAGGGTTTTTTTTTATTAAAATCAAATTTATTTCATAAAATACAAAAAAAAAAAAACTAAAATCAAGCACTATTCATAGATACATTGTAAACCCTAAGTTTTGTTATACGCTTTACGCTATCGGTAAAGCCTTGAAAGCTATTTATTGACATATTGTCGCCTTGTCATTTCCTCACTGTCGTATTTAGCATTCAGTTCCCTTTTTGTGCGGTGTTGTTATTCTCCTTTCGTCCTGGGAGAATCTTGTTTCTTGCAGCACGCATTTTCCAGTAACTTTTAGTCTGGACTGACTGAAACTTGGCCAAAAAAATGGTGGCCATAATGTTCAGATGACGCTAAATAATCAAATTAAAATAAATAGTCATTCAGATTAGATAGTGTGAATTCTGTTGATTAGAACTCATATACCGAACCATACCTGGCTAAATCGATATGTAGCGGTAATGAGTTGTTTTTGGCTGATTCAATATGTAGCGGTAATGAGTTGTTTTTGGCCGGAAAAATGTAGCGGTAATGATCGGTCTAAAATCTGAAAAAAAGTAGCGGTAATGAGTTGAAATTTTTGGCAGTGTAGCGGTAATGTTGACCTCCCATTTTTTTTTTATTATTTTTTTTTGAAAGGGGGGGGGGGGCTAACAACGTTGTCCTTTTAAAATTCTTTGTATTACCTACCGAAACTCAGCTGCAACAGGAAAAGTACCGGCATCGCGTACAGAATCAAAACTCTCATTTCTGAAATTAATACCTGTATTTAATTATATATATATATTTTAAAAAAAAAAACATTCCAAGTTTTTTTTTTATCTTTTTTATTAGATTGATATTAAATGAATGGGTCTTAAAGTTTGCTTTTTAAATTAAGTCTTTTTATTTATGTTAAGAATATTAACAAAAATTGTCTACTCACTGAAAATATTGTTTCTGGCTGCCGTTCGCCTGTCTTGTTATTTATTGTCAGCATTTTCCTCTATATATACATGTATAAACAAGTGGTCTCTTATGAGTTAGTGAGGTACTTCAAAGAAAACGTCATTGTTTTGTTGGGAAAACCGACTTAAGGCAAAAACTTTTCTCACTTCCCTGGGAACATGTGGGTTAATTGGTAAATTTAGGGTTAAATTGTTGCTTAATACTCAGCCTACGATTTCATTTTGTAGCTCCGTATAGTTTATGCTCAATACAATTCAAAACAAACGTTGAATTACAAATGAGTTTTGTTTGTCAAAAATTGACACAGAAAATGGTTTTTGCCTAAACTGATTTATTTTTCAAATAAAATACCTTTTCCGTTAAGAAATTGCAACTTTTTTTTGTAATGGTAAGTAACTATATACACTACTGTACAGTTTTTTGTTTTTGTTTTTTTTTTACTTTTTTTTCTTCTAAAAATCACTGGGCTGTTTCACATTTTTGTTTTATAAATCCACTATGTATGTGCAATATATGTATATGTGTTTTTTGCATGGATTATAAATTTATGCTGTATATTTGTTATTTCTTTAATATTTTTAGCTGTGATCGTCGGTTTAAGACCTCTACAGAGCTCATGTTATTTGTTGCTCACTGTAAAAAAATGCCGACTTTAAATTAAAAAAAATATTTACTTACTTTCTTACTTACCTTTTCCACAAACGCTTGAACGTTCCGAACAAACCTATAGAAAGAAATAATTGATAACTGGGTATGTAAAAAAAAAAAAAAGATTTTTCTTTTTCATGAATGTTGCGGGATAACCTCCGAGATCGAAATAGTTTTTTTTTTTACAAAGCCGAAATATATACGCTGTATATTATTGGAGAAAAATGGACGCAGATTTCTCCGATTTCGGCATTGATTTTAATAAATAAACACTATGTAATTTAACCTTCAAAAATAATGTCTAAGCCCGATTACATTTGATTAAAGTACACTCAATATATAAAATATTCTACTAGAAATTCCTCCAATTATTCCTTGCCAAAATGCAGATTATAATTTTTCAATAGATCCTTTTTTCCAGAAAATGTTAGATTGATTGTACGAGTATACTGATTGTATACTGTTTAACGTCCCTCTCCAGAATATTTCGCTGATATGGAGACGTCACCATTGCCGGTGAAGGGCTGCAAATTAAGGCCTATGCTCGGCACTTACGGCCTTTGAGCAGGGAGGGATCTTTATCGTGCCACACCTGCTGTGACACGGGGCCTCGGTTTATACGGTCTCATCTGAAGGACCGCCCCATTTAGTCGCCTTTTACGACAAGCAAGGGGGTACTGAAGACCCATTCTAACCCGGATCCCCACGGGGCAAAAAATGTTAGAAAGTTGAATGCAATTTAACTCAACATAAGGGAGGCAACTTCCATGAAAAGCTTTAAAAAATGTTTGTCAAGCAATATTGTCAAACCTCCAAAGTATTTTTCATTTAAAAAGAGATTTTGGAATATAGTTCACACAAGGTTTAGACTTTTTTAAAATTGAATTTTAAATTCTTACCCATTTCGCTGTAATTTAATAGACAATCCGAATTGCTTATGTGGACAAATAGAGGATCCCTATTATTTGTTTTTTGTATGTTGAAAATATGCAACAGCAAGATATTATCTCATGAATAATATACACCTGTATTATGATTCAAAAATTTGTACATTAAAGATGTCCATTTGATGTTATGGGGTGTTGATTCATCCTCTGATCAACAAAATGTAGAAGTTTTTAAAGTTATTCATACCTTTTTAAAAGAATGTGGTCGATTCTCTGAAAAATCTTAATTTATTGTATATATTGAATTGTATTCTGGTATCAAGAGCTTACAGTCTTTGACACTACTAGTTGTTACTGAAAATAATTGTTCTTTATTTTGGCAATGTTATTAAATTTTGTATAAGGAGAAGACTATCTAAGTTGTTGTAGAACTTGTGTCTTATCCTTTTGGCTTTAATTGTCAATAAGATTTGTTCAATTCAATTTTTCAAAAGTATCACATCACACCGTATTACATGTGTATATTTGTTTTATTCCCACACCTTTCTTTTTCTCCAAAGGTATATTACCATTTTGGGGGGGGGGGGGGTTAATAGGTCTTTATTTTATAATAATTTAATTTCACTTGTATCAAGCAATTTCATTGGCTGAATCATTTAGAGGAACATATAATATTTTGTATAACATAACTTGCCTACGTCACAATGAGTTACGTCAATAACGTATTACTCCGCTTGACGTTACCTTTAAAATACTGTAGATTGGCAAATATTCACGATGGTTTTAGTTTCGCTATGTTCGCGATCCATAAATTTTCTGCGAAATTAAACCCATCGTGAATTTTATTATTAGTTTTTAAAGTGTTTAAATGTTTATAAAAAATTTTGAATAAATTTCTTGCAGCGTGAAATTAAAACCGTCGCAATTGGTACTTTTTGAGATATCGTGAAATTTTAACACCGTGGAATTAAAACGATTTACAGTATGCTATGTTTGAAGCCCTTTTTCAGAGGAAAAGTTGTCTCATTGTTGTCTACACTGAAATTAAATTATAAGGAATGAAGCTTATTTCAACTTATGTTATACGATATAACATAACTTGGGGCAGTTTATAACTGCCCCAAGTTACATGTATGTTATATCGTATAACAAAAGTTTAAATAAGCTTCATCCCTTAAATAAATTGCTTTATATTGCGATATTTTTCATTTTCACAAATGTCATTCTTATAATTGTATTCATTTGTCGTGAACTGAAAATGACCTTATTTGCACACTACTCAAAACAATTCTGATTCAGCAAATCTTTGATGACCCCTCAATGGACGTCTTAGAGAGGAAATCCTACTATAAAAGGCTGTTGTTTGTGGTCATCCTATTCACCCCTGATTACCCCTGATTACTAAAAAAAGATTGGGATTTCCATGAAAGTTCAAAAGTTTCCGTTATTAAGTGGCTCATCACAGATACTTTCATGTATTTATAAAGACATGAATTAGATCTATTTTGTTATTTTTAAGATGTATAAGTAACTTGTTTCAATAGGTATTTCACGTTGCATAAAATATAAGACAATCTACGGTATTTACTTATTAGTAAGTTTAGATAGAAGAGAGGCCTTTATTGGTAAGTAGAATTGTCACGATTTTTCAGACTTCGGAGAAAAATGCAATTCAGCAACCACTAATGATCGGAAGCGCCGCATAATAGAAGTATCAACCGCTAATGCTAAAGCGCTGCTTATTACAGGAATAATGTCTTAAGGTTAAGCATTGCCACGTTTAGATAATTTTTATCATTTAGCAGTTTTGTTACGAGGCATCAATCAGATTTTGCATTTAATTGCATGTAAATTAAAATGTGCATTTTTTCAGTTTTCAATCTAATCATGAATTGCTATACAAAAATTTATTTTTAAAATGCATTTAAAGTTTTCATTTTTCTGAAAAGGATGTATATTTTAAATAAACTGGAAGATCATATTCAAGTGTAAAAAAAAAAAATCTGTCTTTTTGACAATTTTGCCGAATAATAATCATCAGTATGATTATTTTAAATAGTCGGGGTGCAAACTTTTATTTCGTAAAAATAAATTCATGTTATCTAAATTTTCAGAGGTCTGTCCAAGAACTGGTTCCGTTTAAAATTGCTATCCATTTGGTATCTTTATTGTAAATGATTGACAAAATTTAAACAAAAAAGATTCTCGATTTTCGAAGCATTGATATCATGTTGTAAGTTTTGAATTAACTAGAGGGGTGTTAATGTTAAATTCATTAACTACCTGAATATTGAAATCAGTTTGAATTCGAGTGCAACGTGGAAATTTAAATAATTCAGGAGTAATAAACCGAGAACAATACGTGTCGAGTATTTGTGATTTACACTCTTTAAAACTCGCAGACTTATTTGTTTTATTAATTCATTATTTTTAACAAGTAACAAAACTTCGCAGGAAAAGGTCCCTTCTAGAAGATTATTTTTTTATATTCATCTTTCATTTTTTCGAGATTCCTACAAAAGCTTTTGTCGTGCTATTTATTTGAAAAAAATACATAACTCTTTGCTGTATATCTTGTACATACAAAAAAAATCGCAGTTTCGATTTGTTTCTTGTCAAATTAGCTCTTGAAACTGAAATATGTTCCTATATTGAATCTTATATTCTGTTTAAGTATGGCTTGTATATATATTTAAAAAGAAAAGAAATTGGGAAGTTAAACAACATATTAAACTAATCCCTGATGTTTCACTTATATCATTTTCAGGTTTAAAACGATGAATAACAAGGCTTTTTGGCTTACGATGTCGGTTTTTCTTTTTTACCAAGATCTTGCAGGTAAAAATTCTTAAATATTGTACTAAAGAGGTTTTGAATCAAGTTATCAGAAACTCTAAGCGTACGAAACTTCACGTCCAAAGGATTCAAGCCCAAGGGTTTGGTTGGGAGCGGGGGTTGTGTAAATAAGCTTTCGCTCTACTGGTCAGAGACTACACTATGAAACATTAACTAGTGCATCGATTTTAATTTCGATAAACGGTGTTGTCATTTTCACAGAAAAATAGAAAGAATAGGTGGACTTAACGCCCTATTTTGGATCTTTTTGCGACTACTCTAACAAGTTGAAAATAAACTGAATCCAAAATATATTACAACCAATAGAAAGAGCAACGTATATATGGTTATTTTAGCTAGAACATATGAACAAAAGCAATGCCCTGTTGCCATGAATCAAAATTGAAGCAACGATACATAAGTGTCGTCTTCCGGAATTTGACATGTGACCGGAGTGGTTTTTAGGTCACGCTATCAATATTAATAGGAGGCGGGGCTATCGATCGGTGTCATTGTTAACATTTCTCTCTCTCCATCTCTCTCTCTAGAAATTCGAATACGTCTTTGGCATATTACAGCGATATCATTATGATTTTTTTTTTTAAATGTGAGGACACGCAAAATTAAAACATTTATAATGTGCTA